ACTCACTATAACCTTTTTTCTCAAATTAACACGGGTGTAATCGCACAGGACCTCTAGTTGTGACATAACTGTAATAAATCTAAAGAAAAGTTTACTAGAAAAAAATCCACGCGGACCAGGCAGCGGGACCCTTCGCAATCCGGGCGAATGCACTGACCATTATGCTACCACGGCCCTGTTAGCCGCGTCGAAATTTTCCTATTTACTTTTCCTGCCTTAGGGTGCGGTCAGAGTGCACTCAGATTCAGATTCAGATTCTGAAAACAAGCGCGAGAAATAAACAGTGTAGTCTAAGCAGGTTGCCTGCTTTTTCTCGCGCTTTGTTTTCTGAGTCTGAATCTGAATCTGAATCAGGAGTGCACTCTGGCCGTACCCTTCGACTACACTGTTTATTTCTCGCGCTTGTTTTCAGAATCTGAATCTGAATCTGAGTGCACTCTGGCCGCACCCTTAAGCTGCAAGGCAGCGCCATCTCTTGGCATTGTAGGTAACCCACTATTTCGACGCGGCTAATAGGGCCGTGGTAGCATAATGGTCAGTGCATTCGCCCGGATTGCGAAGGGTTCGAGTCCCGTCCGCTGCCTGGTCCGCGTGGATTTTTTTCTAGTAAACTTTTCTTTAGATTTAAAACATCTAGTAGTTAAATTCTTAAAAATAAATAAAAACATAACTATAACTGTAATAGTTAGACGTATAGCATCGGAGACATTTTTGAAGACATTGATGTTCTCTATAAAAAAAATAGTACATCACTTTGCTCTATTGTCAATGACTTCAGCAGCGTATCCGTTAAAACGTTGTTTTTTACTATATTTTTCACACATTACCAAACTTTTCATACGGAACCCTAACTTTTTTGAAAATGCTCTGTAGCCTTTGTTCATCAGGGAAATAATGTATAATTTTTAATTCTAAATATAAAAGATTTTTTCAAATCGGTTCAGTAATTTCGGAGCCTATTCAATACAAACAAACAATCAAATCTTTCCTTAATATAAGTATAGAAGTATAGATACAGAGATATGTAGGGAAAAACCTACTGTTTTTAACAAAAATATCAGATTATTCTAAAATGTAAAGTGTCGCTTCAGCCTCCCAATTCTCATCAGACTATTAATGCCTCCACTGCAGCCGGTACCAACGGCTGAACGTGCCTTCCCAAATATGGAGGAGCTTTTTGGTCACCCATCCCAATGGATGGCCGTGTGGCGGCGACATCTATATGCCCCACATATATACAACGGATGGAGGAAATCATTACTAACCATCCTCAAGAGATGGCGTTACCTGCACTGCGATCAATATTAGTATGGAATCCTACATCGCGCAAATGAAATTCGGAGGCTAACTCTTCATATATACGATGCCCGACCAACATCAGTCGGGCCCCGGCCCCCGAGCTACCATCACCCAGCTCGGAGGAAGATCTTCCCCTTTGGCCTTCCAACAGCCGGTCATTGTAAAAGTTGCTTAACTTTCACTATCGTGGACGGAACGCGCTAACCAAAATGCGCCATCGAAGTTTTACTTCAGCAACAGCCTATACACCGTGTTCCTGAGGATATACGTTAACTTTGAATAATACTTCTATAGCTCTTGTTAAACATATCGTACAAAGAAAGTAGTAGTTTAAATAGCATAGTTTTTAAGTTATTGGTAATTTAAGTTTAACCATCTTAATTGTGTTGTGTAGTGAGAAAGAGTCTTTATCTGTGAGATGTTGCCACTTTGTGCAACCAAAACTATCAACTCTTTACCAATGGTCATTAATCATAGTTTCAAAAGTCAAAATTTAAAAAAAAACATTGTTGACGTCAAGAAAGTTTCAAAAAGTTTATGTGGACATGTGAACCAAAGTTTTAAATGCGACGTTGCCAGCTCTGGTAAAGAGTAATTCATATAAGATAAATTACATCTAAGCATTTAGTTTGTATGAAAATAAAAAAATGTTAAAGAAATTGGAATTCATAAAAGTGTCCATAGTAAAAAATGTTCAATGTAATAGTCTGAATAACATGCCAAAGTTAGTGTATAACCTCAGGAACACGGTGTATATTTTTCCTACTGGATGTGTATAGCTCTCCCCATTTATTTTTAAGAAAGTACATTATCCCAAGTGTAAATGGCATCCAGTCATGAAAAAAAATACGTGACAAAAGTGTCGCTCCAACCAACCGATACGGCGCTGAAAGTAAAATTCTTTGAACAAAAAACTGAAAATGGCAAATTTTCCTTTTCCAAACTTCTATTGACATCACGTCACTCAATTGTTTTGCCTTCCCGGAACCTCTCCAGTAACATTTGAAATTTATGGGATGGTATTAAAGTTCAAATGTACTTTTAAGTATTATTACGAATCATTTGTATGGTAGTATAGAAAAGTGTTGTTTTTGAACTTTTTCAGGCAATTTTTTTAAATTTTCTCTGCGTAAGAACCATCCTGGTACTTCAAGGAATATTCTAAAAAAAGAATTATGGAAATCTGTTCAGCTGTTCTCGAGATTTGCGCTTAGCAATTCATTTTTACATTATAGACTAGCTGTACCCTGCCACGCTTCGCAGTGGCACATTGTGATTGAATGGTTGAGAATTGTGAAACAAAACAAAGAATACATTTCATATATAAGTTTAATTTTGCAATACTTGTGGATATACAATATTTTTTGTTTTTCCACTGTCTGCGTAGATATAAAGACTCTCTGGTTTGCCGACTCGGAAACACGCAACATACAGTTGTCCATGTGAAAAGCAATCCTCATCTAAATCTAAACCACACAATTCTAAAGATTGACCTTGAGCTTTATTGATTGTGATTGCAAATGCCAATCGAATTGGGAATTGCAATCTTTTAAATTGAAATGGTGTATCGGTCGGGATCCTGGGTATTCGAAGAATGAGGACATAATCACCTTTGAAAGGCCTCGTTAAAATCGTTGCTTCCACTACGTTATTCATTAATTTCTTAACTGCAAGTCGCGTGCAGAGTTTATAAGAAAATTATTAAAAATAAATAATTAAAAAAATATGCACTTCTTTATGTTTTCATTTTCTAACTGTGAACTGTTTTACATTTAATTGTTATTTTATTTGATTTTATTATTGAAATTAATTGATGTTTACTATATTGACTAATTATATTTATATACATTAACTGATACCTATAAACAAAAAGTGAGGTTAATCCAAAATAAATACTATAATTACGTCCACGTGTTAGATGTAATAAAAAAGATATAACCACTCACTTCTGTTAGAAATCCACTTGAATTATAATAAGTCCTTTTATTTTGCCTGTCAGTTTATTATTAAAATATTATTATCTTTTACGTCACTATTGAATTATAGAAACAAACATTGCTATAAAATTTCTTTCATACGTCAATAGAAAAGATTCACTTCAATAATAAATATGTTTTATTATTGATTAATTATTTAACTAATATTTTACTTATTTATTTAATTAAATAAATAATAATTGCAAAAAAATAATATTTTTAGTGTCCATCTTTGATTTAAAATATAACCTCTACTTACGATTTGGTGAAAGGCGCATTTCGATCACAACACTATCACACCAAAAATTCTTGAATTAAGTGAATATTTAATTCAGATTGTATAATAATCAGAATCAGATGCAAATTTTTTTGTAAATAAAAAATGTAATTGGGAACGAAATTGTTTCTCATGTGACTGCGTCATTACTATTGCGGTTGTCAGCGAGTGTTTTCCTCGCTTCTGGCAGATGGCGCGGTCACTGGTACACAGCTGATCGTTAAAAAATCTATTTTCTCGCGGTCGCAGATATGTGACTGATGCAAAAAAAATGGATGCGTGTAACTTATGTACGCGCGTGAGAAGTTATACTTCTTTAGCATCATTAAAAATATTTTTTAATTGCATGCAAATAATTAATAATTACAATAAAATAATAAAAGGACTGGAAAAGGATAGTTAACACAGTCAATTAAGTTCAGTTTTAATTTGAAAAATTAAATAAATATTCAAAATATTCAATTAAAATCACTGAATTTAAGTTATTAGTCCATATGTAATTAGCACTTGTAAGTAACTAAAACACGTTGTGTCTATATAGAAACTAGAAACATGTGGATAAATATTATAAATATGAAAACAGTGATCAGAGGCGACGAGCGTGCCAACATTGTTTTTGACAACGCGATCATCTTATGGAGCTCCGTGGATCGTTCAAAGTACCTTTCGAACAGATGTCTATTAGACACTAACATTCATAACGCGCCCGCGGTCAACTTCATGGTGTTACTATTGTGTTACAGTGATGCGCGCGCATCTCGAAATTTCACTCACATGATTTTTTCATAACGCGCCCGCGGCCAACTTCATGCTGTTACTTTTGGGTTACAGTGATGCGCGCGCATCTAAAAATTACACTCTCATCATTTTTTCATAACGCGCCTAAAGAAGTATAACTTCAAAAATAGATAAAAACAATCCTTGATGCGGATTTTATATCATGTTAAAATTTCAACTAAATCGGTGCAGAACTTTTTGAGTTTTTGAAGCGTACACAAACCAACATAACATTTTTATATATATAGATTATTATTTATTACTAGATGACCCAGCGAACTTGGTAACGCCATAAAAATAGGGACAGGTGGTAGAAGAGAAAATTTAAGGTTGTATGTATTTTTTAATATCACATTAAAAAAATATATATTGTCCAAAATAACATTCCTCCTAACCCATATGAGAACACTACGTTACAATAGCCAATAGTTTGAATTTTGGCGCGAAGGCGCATTGTAGGTTTCAGAGCACTACGTTACAGGTGTACAACCATTATCACTTAAGGATATGAAAAATAGATAGTAGCCGATTCTCAGACCTACGGAATATGCATATAAAATTTAATAAAAATCCGTCAGGCCGTTTCGGAGGTGTATAGTAACTGACATTGTGACACGAGAATTTTATATATAAGATTATACGTCTTCCAATTTTTTTTTATTTCTCCACAGGCTGATTGGTCGGAACAGTTCGTGTTGAACGTTCACGGAGGATCGGTGCTGCCGTGCAGTGATGGTTTCCGAGTGCTGTTCCAGTATCCCGAATGTGTGTTAGAAGGCGCTGACAGAGTGAGAGTGTTCGGACGCGACGGGGAGCGACTACGCTATGTCGCCGAGCAGCGGGTTCGAAGGTAAAATTTGCTGAAACTAGGGACACGATATCGAATAGAAAGTATCGATACTCATGAGTAGTATCGGAAAAAAAGTATTGTACTCGTAAAAGTATTGAAACAAAAGTATCGATACTTCGAAGTATCGAGTACATTTCATAGGGCTTTATGAGCAAACTCTGCATGAGTGACTCTCATGATGCCTTTCTTTTTCATCTTTTTCATAGGATTTTTCCATTTACACCCCGTCCGAATAGCCAATGTCCAGGCAGTTCTAGAAGCTTTTATGGGCGATGAACCTTTTTTTCTTTTTTTGTGTGTCTGGAAAATACCATACGCATCCTTCAACCATTGGGGGAGCGAGAAGAAGGTATGTGGGACTCCTCCCTGTCCTCTTCAGCCAGCCCTGGAGCTCGCTGATGTGAACAGGGCCCTACCTACGCCCTGAACAGGGCCACTAAAAACCAGACAATACTCCTGCACCGTCACCCGACACGCACTATGAGGACCGCGGTCCCCCTAGTGCATGCCGAGAGGGCTATTGTGGTCGCGGAACCCGTCTCCGAATGGCCGCGCATGGGCGATGAATCTAAACTATGACAAAGAGTAATATTAATCAGTTATATTTTCATGGTTATAATGTTTTAAACATTCAAAGTCATGAAAATTATAATAATTTATATTGACATATTGTATGTACCTTGTTTTTCCGGGGTTCGGTCGTTTCGTCGCACGAGCAGTTCGCCCCGCGGGGTGAATCACCCACGTATTCTTTTTGAATTGGTCGTTCCACCCCGTATGCAAGGAGTGGGGCGAAACGCTCAATGCAACGTTTGTCATGGGGCGAATCATACCACGGTGCAAAAAAATTGATACTTTCGAATTTAAGACAAAGGGTTTCTAATTTTGATTTTAACAGATGAGTCCAGTGACAAGGTGTAAAAATAAATACTCACAATGTAATAAGTAATGAATATATTAAGAAAAAGCGATACACATTATTATACGACGACCTCCGCGGAGGAGTGTTTTGTACGCCGGGTTTCAATTGAGAGGTCCCGGTTTCGAATACCGGTGGAGGCAGAAGAGTGTGTGATCTATACGAGCATTTGTACTCCAGTCATAGATTTTTAATATGTATTTCTATATAATATGTATAACTTTAATATGTATCAGTATATGTATTATATCCACTGCACTAGTATCCCATAACACAAGTCTACAGTGCTTACTATGGCGCTAGACTGATTGGTGTGAGTTAAAACAAATTGAATGTAATTGAAATTATCATTCCTCGTTAAAAACAAGGTGCACAGTAGCAATACCGTAAATAATATAAATTACTATAATCAGTTTTATTGTATACGCCAGAGGACAACATACCGCATCGTTCGACTGCCGGTTGTTCAGCGAGCGGTATGCGGAGTACTGCTTCGTGTACGTGTCGCAGGCGGTCACCGGAGCAGTGACCGATGTCAGAATGGACTGCCTGCCTACGTCACCGCTCTCAGGTAACATTAGTAGATAGCTGTTCATTTTGTTTACATAAGAGGACAAGACACCGCATCGTTCAACTGCCGGTTGTTCAGCGAGCGGTGTGCGGAGTACTGCTTCGTGTACGTGTCGCAGGCGGTCACCGGAGCAGTGACCGACGTCAGAATGGACTGCCTGCCTACGTCACCGCTCTCAGGTAACATTAGTAGACAGCTGTTCATTTTGTTTACATAAGAGGACAAGACACCGCATCGTTCAACTGCCGGTTGTTCAGCGAGCGGTATGCGGAGTACTGCTTCGTGTACGTGTCGCAGGCGGTCACCGGAGCAGTGACCGATGTCAGAATGGACTGCCTGCCTACGTCACCGCTCTCAGGTAACATTAGTAGATAGCTGTTCATTTTGTTTACATAAGAGGACAAGACACCGCATCGTTCAACTGCCGGTTGTTCAGCGAGCGGTGTGCGGAGTACTGCTCCGTGTACGTGTCGCAGGCGGTCACCGGGGCAGTGACCGACGTCAGAATGGACTGCCTGTCTGCGTCTCCGCTCTCAGGTAACATTAGTAGATAGTTGTTTATTTTGTTTACGTTAGAGGACAACACACCGCATCGTTCGACTGTCGGTTGTTCAGCGAGAGGTATGCGGAGTACTGCTTCTTGCACGTGTCGCAGACGGTCATCAGGGCAGTGACCGACGTCAGAATGGACTGCCTGTCTGCGTCCCCGCTCTCAGGTAACATTAGTAGATAGCTGTTCGACGGCTGATTGTATGCGGAGTACTGCTTCGTGTTCCCTATGGATGGAATAGGGAGATTGAGCCATGATTCACCACGCGGGCCCAGTGCGGATCGGTGGGTGCTATCGACTGCAGATGCAGCCGGGACCAACGGCTAACCGAAGCACTGAGGAACTCGAAATAGAAGATTTTTGGTCACCTATCCAATGACACTGCGAAAGTTGCTTATGTTCAACGATCGCAGCCGAACGCGCTAACCACCTGCGCTATCGAGCTCTTCATCGAAAGCATTTATGTACCTATTGAAAATCTGTGAATGATTTATAGAAGGAAAGTTAAGCCTGCCATTTTAGCCGGGTGGTTTCTTCTACTTGAAATTTTCTTTGGTTTGTTATGAGCAGCCCTTGCTGAGTTTCTTGGCGGTTCTTCTCAGTACAAGGTCTCCCGCCGTAGTTTTGCAAACCGATGGCGTAGCTTCTGACCTTCACAAGTACTTGTAACAGCCTAGACTGAATAAAAAAAAGTGTTTTTTTTATTAAAGATTGTCTTTAATGTTGTTGGCCTTTCATGGTTCTAATTTATTCGCAGAGGGCGGTGCCGGCGGTTGGGGCGAATGGTCTGCTTGGTCGCCGTGTCCTGCGCCCGCGCATTGTTCGACGCGCACGCGAAGCCGGCACCGCTTCTGCGACTCTCCGCCGCCCGCGTACGGCGCCAAATATTGCGAGGTTAGTAAACTCAAACTCAAACTTAACTAGTACACAGTATACTTTAAATCTGCAGCTTCACACTAATCGTTGATAAAAAGAGAGTGTTGACAGAAAGGCAAAGCGAGTCATTTTACCAATTTTACCAATGGTGCAAGGTGTGCTTTGCATACGGACGCAGTAGGCTTTGGGGCCTTCATGTGTTAGAACTGGAGGGTGCTAGGCTTCGATCAACAATATTATTAGGTACGATTAGTATTATTGATCGAAGGTCCTAAGTTAATGATTTGTCACGGGTGCTGCTTGTGCTAGAGGCGCTTCTGCCTTGTCTTGCTTCAGTCCACTTCTGATCGTTGTCGGTTTCTGTTGTCTAGTTTAGAGTCATTTGCTCGACCAACTTTAACCGAGCAACTTCGAGAGTAATGTAGCAGAGGATTAGAAAGGGTTGCGCTATATATAGCACTTAGCGGCATCCCATTCTTACTGTACTCAAGTAAAGATCAACACTTAGTTGTCATTCTGTAATACGGGCCTATTTGTATTGCCCTAAAAGAAGCGTGTATGACGGTATCTATACCTATAAAAACATCATAGCCTTAAACAAAAACTATGGGTGCAATAAACGAGTCGATTGTCGAGTAACTTCGATTAGCTTTGTACGCGCACGAACGGACAAAGGCAAAGTTAATAGAGCAACTGCAGACCGTTCGTTATGTGGAAGTTTGACTGTTGACCGGAATATATTCGGTTATTTGGATTTTCTGTACTTTTTTGTTTTGGCAACATACAGTAATGTACATCAATGTTTACAAACATATTAAAGAAATACATAGGTTGTAGACCTTGAGTGCCTACAATGAGTAGGCACTAAGTGATCTAATCAGGTTGGAAGCAATATAATGAGCTATATCATCATTATCAGGTTTCGTAAATCAGTTACTAGTGGCACGCCCTCGCTTCGCTTCCGTGCAGAGCTGTAGTGTATACTATAGTTTTTGTTCTCAGGCATGTATTATACACAATGAAATTATATATCATTTTAAATATGTAATATCTTCGAAAATATTCATTTAAATTACATGCTTTAAAAGACCAAATTGGTCTATATTAAATGCACAATGTATTTAAGGTACTTAATTGGATAAGGATGAATGTTGTGTTGCTGAAAATTGATTCGTAAATAAGCTATTATTTCTCGTAAAAAGTATAGGATAAAAAACAGTTATTGTGGGTTATCTCTAAGAGATAGACATATACCATCGCGGACTTTTTTTTAGACCTTTTTAAGGTGTACAATACTGTATTACATTATTTTGATCTGTCTCGTAGGGTTCAGCCAGCGTTTGCAATGTAAGCGCAAAAATGTGATTATATACGACCTTACATTTAAAATCTCTAAAATTATCAGTGTTGCTCAACTATATTATGCATGTTTTATACATATAAAGCTTCCTCTTCTATCAAAGAAAACCGCATCAAAATCCGTTGCGTAGTTTTAAAGATCGAAGCATACATAGGGACAGACAGCGGGAAGCGACTTTGTTTTATACTATGTAGTGAATACAAAGCATTTATTTATAAAGGATTTGAGTGCGTGTCACCTCAATCGCACTTGATATTAAGCAACGATGTGGTCTAAGCTGAAGCACGCAAACTCAAATAATGCCTTTTTACCCTTGCCTTTAAAGCCATTTTATTATAAGTATCGGAGAATACATTAAGGGTAATATTATGCTATTAACGGGATTGTTACCATGTACCTTGTTTTTAGCGATTTTCCGATATTTCGGCACTGTTGCAAGCGCCATGATCACGGTGTAACTGAAGTAATTGCGGGTAGGGTGTTATAGGCAGACATATCGGTCTACCCTCCGACGAAGTCTTTTATTATGTTCGATACCCGTACCACTGTTAATAACATATATTACTATAATGTTAGTGAACATGAAAGTTCAAAACAATGTACATTAAGGGTAGTACTTTTATTAAAAATTAGTGTGCACGGACCACACACCTTAAGTGAAACTTCTTTTCTTCTTAAATAAACTAAAATAAGGCAGTGCATAAGACATAGGGCAACGGAGTGCCACACGCATCACTCAATATTGTCACGTGTGACGCTCGTGACGTTTGTAGTGTTTCACCGAGCCTTCACCGAGTTACACTCCAACATTCATGCTCGTCGGGAAGAGCTGCGCACGCATCCCACACACACACATATGTATATATACACATATGTGTGTGTGTGGGACAGATTATGTCCAAATAAATCACCATATCTGATATTAAATTAATAAGTCAATACATATCTCCAACTTTAGCCGATTTCATCAATAAAAGCGTAAAAACTGGTGTGTATCCTGATGCATTAAAAGTTGGATGTGTAAGACCTGTACATAAAACAGCGAAAAGGGATGATTATGCAAATTATCGTCCAATAACCTTGCTTTCCTCAATTAACAAAATTGTAGAAAAATGTATTAGTGATCAAATACAACATTTCTACAGCAAACACAATGTAATTTATCGGCGTCAGTTTGGTTTCCAGTCAGGCAAGAGCACAGCAGATCTTTTAACTAAATTCACCGATGAAGTCAATCATCACCTTAATGACAGAAGACACGTTTTAGTTTTGTTTATAGACTTTTCACGTGCTTTTGATGTGTTATTGCAAGATCAACTGATTAATAAACTGGACAATTGTGGCGTACGAGGCCCTCTGTTGCGCTGGTGTGAGAATTATTTGAAAGAACCGCAGTTTTTCGGTTAAAATTAATAATAGCTTTAGTAATACCATACCAGTGACAGAGGGCACGGCGCAGAGTTCAGTACTTGGACCTTTGCATTTTCTGACATATGTCAATGACATGAAATGCCCAAACAAGATGATGTCATGACGCTGGATTGGTTATTAATGCTGGCAAAACTAAACTGTTAATAATAAAGTCACCATATGTCAAAGAGTTGCCACTAAAAAAAGTCATAATCCATGATCATACCTGCTTACATGTTGGCGGTATATGTGACTGTACACCGGTTGATATAGTTGATAAACAAAAGTATCTGGAACTTATAATAGATAATAAATTTAATTGGATACACCATATTGAGAATGTATGTACTAAATTAAGACAATTTCTTGCAAATTAACTTAAAGATCGCATTCCTTTCAAAGTTAAATTAATTTTATATAATTCACTTGCAGAGTCACACATTCAATATGGACTTAGTAGCTACGGTCGAACATACAAATCCTACCTAAATCAAATTAATAATCTTAAATTAAAAATACTTAAAAGTATAGTTTCCAAAAATATAAAAAATAAAAACCGGGATAATATAAATGGCATTTTCAAACACTGTAAAACCTTACCAATACATATGCTTTACTCAAAGAGCAGTTTTTTAACAATTCTTTAAAAATACCAATTGCACATCCTGTATACACTCGGGCCACAGCTAAGAATCGGCTTTGCGAGCCGCGCGCAAATAATGCATACGGTGAGCGTACAACTATCCACCTTTTGCTCCGACTTGTTAATAAATTGCCGCCAGAATTACAAGACAGCATCACACATATGAATCCATCCTCCGAAGCGAAGCGAGGGCGGGCCGCTAGTTTATTGAATAAAACCTTTTATAGTATGCAAGAGTCTTTTATTGAAATGCAGCGTACTTGTGATCTAAAATTTTAATGTCATTGATTATAATTATGTGTATTTTGTTTATTTTATGTATATTGATATTGTAGTGCCCTTACAGGGTTCATGTTTGGATCTGACTCCAAATCTTAAGAACTTGTAATTACCACATGAAACAATAAATATATTGAATAGGGGTGATGACGGGGTACAGTAAACGAAATTCTATTTAGTCCGTCAGTTAGATGATCAAAAAATAATGGACACTTATTTTTTCTTTGGGCAATCAACCAAAAAATCCTCGTGACGTCACTTTTGAGTGAAAATTGTACTTGTTTAATTGTAAAACGTCACGTCATGCGAATTTTCAAATCAATATATCTCTGCAATGTTTATATTATGTGAAAAAAGAAAAAATACGTGTCCAATACTTTTTGATAATCTACCTGATAAGCGAACAAAAAAAATTAGTCATCATCCCTGAATTGAATTATCCATCATATATGAATATATTATTGAAATACATTGTATACATGGTACATAGGTTTGAGGTAGGTATATATGATAAATAATACCTGGGCTTTTAGGTTACAACCTTCACAATTTTCAAGAGTAAGTTTTTGGACTAATCTAATAATATAAAAACGGCGCCTTTGGGCGTTTAATGGGATTAGAGTTGTAGCGTTTCAAACATTTACTTTGAAGCGAGACTAAATTCATTTAACGCCATCTAAAGAAACTGGCTTGCTACATTCATGTCCAGGATTGAAGAATAAACTTCATTAAAGCAGGTCTGGAAAAGGACTATGTATATGATGTTGTATTTATATTTAAGTAACACAATAAGTACCAACATAATTTTTCAAAATAACATTTACCTTACTGTAGGTATATAATTAAGAAGCAGTTTTTGATGAAAATATGATATATATTAGCAAATAATAAATAATAATAATAAATATTTCCAACACTCATACCAATTAGCCTAGCCCCAAAGTAAGCACTATGAGGCTTGTGTTATGGGATACTAGGATACCGGGATTTGAACCCAGGACCTCTAGAGTCGGCGACACCATGAAACCCGGCGTACAAACCACTCGGCCACGGAGGTCGTCAAATATCATCATCATCATCAGTCTATTAATGACCGTGGTGCTAACTACTACAGATGCAGCCGGGACCAACGGCTTGTCGGCCTTCCGAAGCACGGAGGAACTCAAGATAGAAGAGTTTTGGTCACCCATCCAATGACCGATCACTGCGAAAGTTGCTTAACTTTAACGATCGCAGCCGGACGCGCTAACCACTCGCGCCACCGAGCTTTTCTTAAGCAAATATATTGTTAAGCTTCTCAGGAAATAGAGGCAATTACGGGCAACAAAAAAATATTTCTAATAACAAAATACTGGTTTTAGGGCTAGCGATATTTTAATAATAAAGTTTGTCCTTCTTATTATAGGGTTTAATTTATTTTTTATGAGCTGATTTCAATATAGAGTGGATGCAGTAATTTTTATATATTTTTTTCATGGAACAAACAATGTACTGTTTGCCAATGTAGTTAGGTCAAAGTACTATTTCTCGCTGATCAGCATTTTCCGCAATAATTTATTTTATTCACAATAAAATTCTGTCAACCAATAGCCATCGACTAACGTCTGTTTGTATTATACTATTATAAACTGATTTCTTTTGTGAAAACTAAATAAACTATAACCAAATCGACTTCGTTTACTTCGACTAACAATTTAAAATTGTAAGGAAAACCCTACAAATAACAAAACACAAACTTATTTACTCATTTAGTAAAACATTTTTGAACGCGTATGAAGTGCGATTTATTATTTTTTTACATTATTTTCGGGGTTTCGGATCATTTACAGGTTCCATAAAAAACCAATATTATTTCCGTCAGGTACCAGTTAGTTTATGTCATACAATTATTCGGCAAAGATAGTGGTGAACTATTATTAACTGAGTGACTAAACCATGGACATTGGATTTCGCTACGCTTAGTTCCTAGAATGTCCATAAATAAACACGTCACGGCTATCGTCACTAGGAAACATAATCGCGTTGCATAGCAACCGCCTTGTTAATCAATAACAAACTATAAAATTCTGTCAAAGGACGCTTACTTAAGTTTTATATCAAGTTTTACATTATATTAGTAAATTACAGTTTATTTGTGAGAAATGGCACCGAAAAAAGACAAAAAGAAAGATGAAGAAACTGCCAAAACTGCAGGTGGTACATTCACTGAAGTCGAAAGGACTTTTATGGAACTTCAGATAGCTGAATGCAACCGCAAAATTGCAAGACTCCGATCAGCTGTCGACGAGTATGAACAAAGGAATGAGGAATTACAGAAGTCCTACGACAAACTCGACGAAGACAGAGCAGACATTATAGCATATTTAAAGAAAACCTTAAATGTGAAAAATGAAGAAAATAACGAATTGAAGGAAAAGGTGAAAGGACTTGAAGAGACTCGAGAAATTGAAACAGCTCAGTTCAGAGAAACTGTAGCAGAGCTAGAAAGAAATTTCACTATAATGAAAGACCAACTTACATCAGAAAATAAGTTATTGGCGGGAAAATTAAATACACTGGAAGAATTCAGGGCAATCAGGGACGACTTGATGAGAAAATTTGAAAAACAGGAACAAGATTTCAAAGACCAGGAAATGAAATATAAAAGAATAATTTATGATGCTGAAAAAAAGTTTGTGATCGGAAAAGATAAATTGAAGAAAGAAATGGAAGCTCGTTTATTGCAGCTAGCGCAAGATTTTCAAGACGCCACTGAATTAAGGATAGCTGCGTCTACACATAGAGTGATAAGAGAAAATATTGCAATAAATAATGAATTGGACAATATTTTGTCGTCTCAGGCAAAATTAGCTGAACAGAATGAAAAATATAAAGAAAGCGAAAGAGCTGCTCGTGTTGCAATGGAATTAGCTGAAGAAGAAAGAGACAAAGCAATTAATAAGAATGTAGTACAGTTGAAAGTGATAGATCAATTGACATCTGCCTTCCAAGAAATTAAAAAAGAAAAGGCCTTGTTTGCAAAGAAAAACTATGATTTTGAAACTCAAGACGTAAAAATACAAAAACTAACAAAAGAAAATGAAAAGCTTTCCCTTCAGGTTCGAATTTTAGAACAAAATTTACATGCTAAATTATGTGAACAGAATAGAGCGGTTGTGGAATCCAACAGAATTGCAAATGAGTGTGCTAAATTGAAAAATATTTTAAAGGAGGCAGCTGTTGCAGTACAAGCAGCCTTAAAGTTAGACCAATGGGCTACAACAGACCCTACTCGTGAAATAATGGATAGGCAAATGCTGTTGACTCGTTTGCTTGATATAATGAATCAGTATCGTGAAATTCAGCGCACAGAATCTGCCGCTACACTTGCGTCTCTTGGGAAAGTGTACGAAGAAGGCGATCTTGGATTTATTCCTAAACCACATGTTGCCAAAAAGAAATCCGTTATCACTACACGTATATCTCACGAAGTCTCAGGAGAAAATGTTAAATCTGAAAGAGAAAGTTCACACTCTATATCATTGTCATCATCAACGATTGGCAGTATAAAAACTATACCAAGTATGATGCTCGTGCCAGCATCATCTGAGCCAATGCTGGTTCCAAAAGACAGTTTACCTTCATTCCAAACCTCATCTAGGTCGAGCGAGATTGATAGTAGTCTAGAAGAAGAGGATAGTAAGTCATATACCGATATTGAAAAGCAACTAGAACACAGCAAACTCGAAATTCAAAAATCAATAATGAAAGACTTAATGTACTCACAAACGATAATGAAGTCGCAAGCTAGGTTTAGTGAAGAATTAACGAAAGCATCAAAATCTGTGACGATCGCTGAAGCTGATGAAACTGTCGAGGATTCAGAGGCTCAACCTAAAACAGAAGGTGAGCCAAGTGAGGAGCATGGTGAAGGTGAAGAGCATACAGTAGATGACTCTGATGTTGCAGAAGAAAATCAACAGGAAGAAGATAAGCAGGAGGAAAGTCTAGAAGAACCCTCAGAAATAATGAAAGAAGAATAATGTTTGTATTGTTTATATCATTTAGTAGCTACATTTAAGTATTTTTTATATAATCACAGCAGTATTTTTTTAATAACTTATTCATAATAAACAATAATATTTTTTTCATTTATTTTTATTAACCTTTATATATATAAGAACTTTCAGTTCTTTTTAAATATTATGGTAGTAAGTTTCGACAGCATAGATACTTAAAATAAAAGCTGAAAATAACAATAACAGTATTAATTAATAGTCAACATTTATAGAAACCTGTACTGACGAAAGATTATGGACATATTTTAAAATTCTTTTGTGATTTATAGACAATGTCCGATTATATATCACGCAATCTTAACGTAAAGCAAGTCATTGACTCCCAAGGGAGATAATGTTGTATGAAACTCCCAAGGGATTAAAGTGATTTGAATTTGAACGTTTAAATGAACGTTAAAATTCGTATGAAAACTAATAGATATGTATCTATCATAGAGTTTTTCAATAATAATATGGCATTGCAAAGAGAGTTTATTTGAAAATCGAACTGGCCACCCAGCCTCTATCGCTTCACTCAGGACTCTACATGACTCCCTCGCTTCGCTTAACTCTAGAGTCCCTCGTTACGCTCAGGGTCCAATATGCTGCCCGTGACCTAAGACACTGCTTTATCCCCTTGGTGCATAATCTACTATTACTCAACAGTAGCAAAATATCTACATTATCCCCTCGTCTGAGTATCTACTTCGTTTTTCCGACCTATTTTCTTCTTATTATTCGAATTCTACTGTACATGTAGGCTTCATTTTATGTTTAAATCAATCATGAATACTTTCTCTACAAACTTATTTATATATTAGATGTGTAAATTAAAACCATTAGTAAATATTATGATAAAACGCAAAATAGTAAATAATTTTCTCAATCCCTGGCAGAAATCGTTCACTTAGACGAGGGGGTATAGTCGCGGCACGCTATGAAGGCCATTTTGACACATTGCAATAGTGACGAGTAAAGTCAAACGATAAAAATGTAATATAAGCAAATGCGAATCACATCTAGGTATTTAATATTTTGAAATTCTAACCAATATTGCAAGAAGTTGCTGAGAGTAAAGATTGAATAAAACGAACGATCCTTTATGTAGCAATCTTATTGAGTGCGTATTTTTTTCTTTTTGAATTTCGAAAAATACATAAAATGCTGAGTAATGTGGCGAATAAGTAGAATCTAAGTATACTCTAATTATATTTTTATTTGTATCATATAACAGTTCTTAATTATAATTACAATAAAACTATTAATACATTTAATTTGCTCAATCCTTTAAAGATTCTGTCAAATGACTGGTGTTTTAATGTTAAAAATTATATTAAATTTAATTGTTTCAAACTTGAAAAGGTTTTCGGAGTCATAATAAATATAAGAAAGTTTTGTAAAATATTAATTCTACGCCCTTTTCATTACCGATTCGATAATTTTTATGGTTGAATGCGCCTCTCCACTGACAATGAAGAATAATTATTATTTCTTTGAAATTTAGAATTAATTTCAATTTTCAAATATGAAACTTCACGGGGCACACAAACATCAAAACGGCCATGATTATAAAATTAAGTTACTCATCAAATAAATGACGAAAGTTGATCATAAGATGTTAAAAGGTTTTTGCCAATTTCCACTTGCTACATTGCTCCTAACATCCTTAATTCTGGCCATTCAAACAATGCAAAATTTAGAAACCAACTTTATGTAGGAACTAACGTAAATAAGGTTAAGCATTAACTTTAACATTGGAATTAATTAACATCACCTTGTTTAATAATATCACCCAAGTAATTTAAAACATTTCGATTAGGATGAACTGCAAAGTTTATTTTGGTATTAAAGTTCTAAAATGTTCTATTTAGGGTGAAGCTGTGGAGTTAGAAGCCTGTGAATGTAGTGCCCGTCCATGGGCTGGTGATTCTTCAGTGGTGGTGGCAGAAGTCGGTGCCAGATGTCGCTGCGGCTGTGTACTGCATCTGGCACCCACGGCACGTTTACTGGCGGGCTCTGCTAGAGCGTGCCCCTCCAGATCATTTTGGCTGCTTCAGGTAACATTCTCTTTTGGAACCTTCTACTATTCTGTAGGTACTACGGTACGACCCAGACAGACATCGCTGCGGCATTGTACTGCAAATAGTGCTCACCGCACATTTACTGACAGGCTCGGTTAGATTGTGCCCCTCCAGATCATTTTGGCTGCTTCAGGTAACATTCTCTTTTGGAACCTTCTACTATTCTGTACTTTTGACCCAGACAGACATCGCTGCGGCATTGTACTGCAAATAGTGCTCACGGCACGTTTACTGACAGGCTTGTCTAGATTATGCCCCTCCAGATCATTCTGGCTACTTCAGGTAACACTATCTTTTGGAAGTTCCTACTATTCTATGTTGCTGAGCCATGGGCTGGTGATTCTTCAGTGATGGTGGCGGAAGTCGGTGCCAGATGTCGCTGCGGCTGTTTGCTACATCTGGCACCCACGGCACATTAACTGGAACTTAAATTTGAATCACACCATATGAGTACTATTTATTATAGACTACTGAGTCGCAAGGCAAGCATCCAGCAGTGCTACCAACCCTTACCAAAAATTTCCCCTAAATATTTTTTAAATTCCCCTAAATATAGAATTTTAATGTATCTACTTAGTACCTAAATTCTTTCGTTGCTCATAAATTAAAACGTTTCTTATTTAGTTACAGTAAATTATTTGATTGAATGAATGACAAAAATGAATGGTCAGCCGTGAGTATGACGTGAACGAATGAAAGAACGAACATGATTGTTATGTTGTTGTTTTAACTATTGGTGATAGGCAAGGAACTTTAATCCATACAGCATTAGAAAACAAACCGCCACACAGTCAGTTCAGTCGTTTCATATCGTGGTGCGTTCCATTCTACGCACAAAACTGAAAGAAAACACACGCTTTGCTTTTCGATTTAATTCCAAGTTTTGTTAAAAACCCCTAAAAAAAAGTCCGTTTTAACACATCTAGCCCCTAAATCTGGGGGCAAAACCCCTAAATTGGGAACCGTGGCATCCAGTCCACCCAATGGTAAGCAGTTACCGGACCCGTTGGTTGCTCGTAATATCAGTAACATCGCTGATCACTGACCCCTTGCCGACCTTATAGAAACTTGGAAACTGTAAAATCTGTCAACATCCTTTTCAGTAAAACAGGTCTGATTAAATTTATTTAACCTTTTATGGTTGTAAGAGTCCAATCACTTTTCTTGTCATTAGAGGAGTCAAGTTTGTAGAAATCAAAATAAACAAACAAGCAGACAAAACTTTAAATCCCAACTGAATACACACAGTTTTTGGCGGGATTTCATCGAGTGCTGGCGTCTTAATTTAATTATTCTTAAATTCATCCATAGTGGATATTGTGAAATAAAATTGGTGTGATTTTGTGTTACAACTGTCTGCGTAACTGACACTTCAAGAAACATTAGAATGCGCCACACCGACATTCTAATGTAAAAAGAAAAACAGAATAATTTAACTTAAGACTAGGCTGTATGGGCATTGTTCCCCTTGCCTTCCTTGAAAAGGGAGAATTTAACAAAAAAAATGAATATAACACATGGGCACTTCAGGCTAGCGTCGCCAATGAATTCGTTTTTTACAAAGCACCAAAAAGCTTCCATATGGTTTCGGTTTTTCATTGAGAAAAGATACAATTAATAAAAAAAACGTTATAATTTTTTATTATCGTGTTGAAGTTTAATAACACAGAATTAAAATATTCACATTAAATAACATCTCTAATGTATATTTGTTTCTTAGGTTTTCACGCACATCAGTCATCAAATAAAACTAGTTTTTCACGGGTTATAAAACTAGTTGTGCGTGAAAACCTAAGAAACAAATATGCTAACCAGTACGGGCTGGAAACCGCTAATAAAATCAGCCGATTGGAAGGTCTGAAGACAAAGCGCGCAAGGAAACTAACATCGCTGAATTTCCTGAAGAGATACCGAGACTACAATCTCATCCCACCTTGTGTAAGAATAACACCAAAAAGGACATACGTGGGAGCGCCAAGATCTTACAAGAGGCAAGTAAAAAGCTACTTCAAAGCATAATCCTGCGTCCTGGTCATGGTCCTGCGTGGAATATTGCTCGCACCTCTGGGATGGCTCCGCTAAGTACTTACTCGATGCCTTGGATAGGTTGCAGCGGCGCGCTGCCCGCATCATTGGCGATGAAGAGATAACTAAGAAACTCGAGTCTCTACAATTACGCCGTGATGTGGCATCATTAAGCGCATTCTACCGACTGTACCACGGCGAGTGTTCTGAGGAGCTATTCTCGCTTATCCCTCCATCACCTTTTCTTCAGAGGACCACGCGCGCTGGCCTACGTTGCCACCGACTTACTGTGGCCACTATTCCTACACGAACAAAGAAATTTGGCGACTCATTTCTTTGTCGTACTATTCGTAAGTGGAATTCTATGCCTGCGCACGTGTTCCCTCCTTCCTATAATCTGGGGTCAAAAAAAAATTATAGAAGGGCATCGTTCGGATTTAAATAACCGAACGCTCAATAAAAGTCTTTCGAAGGTAGCTCGACAAAATTAAATAAAAAATTGATTCCGACGATGTAGCCTGTAAAGGCTGCGAAACGTCAATAAATAAATAAAGTTTCGTGCATTAACCCGTGAAAAACTAGTTTTATCTCTAATGTACCAAATGTCACATTGAATGATTGATTCATCCAGGCAATTTTCATATTATGTAGCTATCACAAGACCCACGAAATGTTTTAACCATAAACATAGTTCGGTAGCATATTATCAAGGGGCCCATATCCGGAACGATTGATCTATACGATCCGTCGTTTCAGACCGATCGAAACGATGGATCGACAGTGTATGTCAAGATCGTTAACGATTTACTTAATCGCAGACGATATCGGAGATCGCAACAAAAACCCATGCAATCATGAATATCGTAAACGATCGATCGTCAGTGTCCCATATACGGTACGATTGATCTGTACCAATTGTCTGTATTGATCTTAACGATTTCCTTCAGATCGATCGCAACGACGAATCGTTCCGTATACGGGGCCCTTCATAATGATTTTAACACATGTATATTTGCTGCTAAGCTTAAACGCGTTACAACTTTATACGCCTACAAATTGCGTTAACGAGTACAACGGAAACTTTCGTTACACAAATTGACTATGTTTCCAACAATATAACGTAATGATTAAGCGCGGACTGATCGACTAACAATTTTGCAAGCTCTCGTAGAAATTGGCAAGTTTAAATTACTTGATGGCGATACAAATTCAATAGGGCAGAGCGTTCGGAACAAGTTACAGTCGGGTGGCAGCGACGCAATTTACTCGCGCTAAATTGTTACAAAGTTAACGTCTTTAAGTTTGCTATGTTTATAGTTTAAATATCGTTATACTAATTCGGTCGTGTCACAAATTCGCAGCGATATTCGGTATAAGTATAAGATCTTAGTTTTGGGCCAACAATTGGGTAATCAATTAAATATCATTTGTCCCAATAAAAAAATCCAAATAATTTTTGTCTCAATAAAGAAATCCTAATAATTATTTTAGTTTTTTTTAGATCTAAAGAAATGTTTACTAGAGAACATTCCACGTGGACCAAGCAGCAGACGGGACTCGACAACATCTAGTAGTTAAATGTTAAAAAAATTAAAATATAACTTTAATTGGCATTTCTTCTTTCAAATGTTTAATACTTGTAAAGGTATTCATTTAAGATTGTGGGTTATCTACAATGCAAAGAGATGGCGCTACCTTGCAGCCTAAGAAATACTAGAGAAAATTCGACACGGCCATCAGGGCCGCGGTAGCATAAGGTCAGTTCGCGAGTTCGAGTCCCGTCTGTTGCCGGGTCTGAGTGATTTTTTTTTTCTTCTATCATTTAACTATCGTCAGTAAACCGACTTTACAGACAACCGATTTTTTTTTGTGACGCAGACAAAACCTCTATTTACGGACGTCGATCGGCGCCTATAAGAGGCACACCGACGAATGGACCTCACACCCAGCACTCCCAAATGTCATGGTCACTATGAGGCTTATCCCCAAAGTAACTCGCGCCATTTACGAGCACGCTTAACGGCTGAAAAACCGTGCGAATACCCTCTACGCTGCTTGATGCGAAGCCGCGGGTCCCCGTTTAGGGATTCTCCGCGTCACACACAGACTAACCTGGAAAGAGATTTTCGAATAATTAAAGTAGACGCAAACGATTTTTATTTAAATATATGGAAACAGACATTACTTAGATACAAATGCTCGAATTCATTGTACAAATATTTGTCCTTACTTCTAACAACAGGACTTCAGAATAGGCAACAAATTAAATGTGGTGTACATACCATTTTTCCTTGTAGATAATCTAAGATCTATGAAATGCAATACCTATTTCAGGAGCCGTTAATACGAGAAAAAATGCAAGGAGTTAGTTTTAGTAATTGACCAGTAAATGGATACACTTAATAATATTTCGAAGTAGCCTTTGTCAGTGACTTCATCTGCGTAAACTTTGGAATTCTTAAAAGCCTTTAATGGTAATAAAAATCCTAGTAAAGGACTACATTTTCATGTATGTTGTAGGTAAGTAGCTTTTTCAGAGTCCCATCTTAAGTAGGATATTTATTCTACTCTACTCGACTGATCTTATACAATGAACCAAGCAAGTAGACTTGCCCGTTACAACATTCCTGGTCTCAGCGCTATAGAATTAATTATGACTCACACGGACTACGGCGACCACGTCAACACTGTACTGCACTCGCCTGCGGCTCCAAAATAATGAAGTCTCTGATGTTTTTTTTTTGTTTCCTCCCAGGCGGGGGAGAGGGTGAGAAATCCTCATGGATACCCTACAGCCGGCTGTAAGGTTATGTCAGACTCTTACTGACTAAAAAACACCCTTTATTCATGCTTATGGCCAGAAGGGCCTTACAAGCTTCATCTGAAGCGATCAACCCCGAGAGGGGGATGATGCGGCGCTGCGTTAGTTTAAACTAGTGCATAGTTTAAAA